TAGGGCAGGAGGTGGAGGCTGCAGGAGCAGGACCCAGTAGGAGGGACAGGTCCCCAGGGCTTCCCTGAAGGGCACTGCTGTCCAGCCCCTTCCTCCCCTCCTGGGCTTGGCTTCCCTCTGCCACCCCTCCTGCCATGGCCTCCCCCCTCACCTGGGCCCAGAGTGACAGTGTCAGCTGACCATGGCCTAAAACCTCTGAAACCAGGAGCCAAATAAACCTTTCTGCCCCAAGTCGGTTTTCTCAGGTATTTTGTTACAGCGACGAAAGCTGCCCAATGAAGGCCCTGAAGAAGGCCTCCCTCAGCCTGTGCTGGGGCCGGACCTAGGGCACCATCACCGCCACCCCGCCATGGGCACATGCAATCTGTCCTATGCTGCCGGGGAGAGGCCAGCCTGGTGCTGCTCTGTGGGACTCTCTGAGGGGACAGCACTTTTTGTGTATTTTTCCACTTCTTTATGGGACCCCAGAGTCTAGCTGCCCTTGTCAAATGCCCCTTCAGATTTCTTGAGCCACACCGTGCACCTGAGCAGCCTTGGCCAGAATCTTGCATCTGAGGAGCTCCCAGGACCTGCCCTGGGCCAGCAGCGCTGCAGGGGCACACTCATGGGCTGCAGGCCCACGGCAGGAAGGACCCCTGAGCGCAGGTCCCTGGCAGGATCCAGCCCTGGAGGCTGCCAACGGGGAGAGGCACGTGAACCTGCAGAAGCCTGCAACCCTGGCCAGTGCTGGGCACGGGCAGCACGGAGCCTGGTGGACACACCGTGGGGAAGCCTCGGGGCCAGGAAGCCAGCTATGGAGGACAGACTGCTGGACGGGGATGGAACCAGCTGCTGGGTCCGTCTGCTCCAAGAGTCTGAAAGAGTCAAGCGGCTGCAGAGAGATGTTCTGGAACCCTCTGTCGCAGTGCAGTGCCCACACCACACGAAGCCCCCGACTCATGCGTGGATTCAGCATGACCAGAGGCCACCTGTTCACTGTGATCCCAGCCGTCACCCCGACCAGTGCAGGGAAAGTCTCAGCCTCCAGAAGGAGCCCGTCCCCCGCAGCCTCCATCCCCCCATCCCTGCACCCGCGGGTTCACTCTGGTCTCTGGACCCTCCTGACGTTGGGCCATGCGCTGCAGCCTGTGAGTCTGGCTCTCCCTGAGCCCGAGGCCCTCAGATGGGTCTGTGTGGCAGCTGTGTCAACTCGGTCCTGCCCTGGCTGAGGGCTGTCCAGTTGTGTGTGGTCATGCTGTGTCTCCCTTCACCCACGGGCCGATGCCCAGGCTGGCCGCCCCCCCACCTTCTCCGCCCCCTGTAGAGCTCGGTCTGTCTCCAAGCCCCTCCTCCTCCAGTGAGGACGCAGGTCATTCTGGATCAGGGTCCATGCTGGCCTTGGTGGATTCTGGGGAAGACGGTTTCCAAGCAAGACCTCACTCTGAGCGGTGGGGTTGGACGTCACCGAGACCCCTGAGCGCGGGCCTGCTGGGTCCCCTGCTCTTTCTGGGTGCAACCCTTCAAGAAACCCGCAATGTATTCTGCAGCCCAGGTGGGACTTCCGGTCCCTCCACATCCTGCCAACGCTTGTGACCAGGTTCCTGCTTCCCCTAGTGTTCTTCTCCTGCCCTGGGACCCCATCAGGACCCCGTGTGTCACCGTCACCACACCCCCTCTGGGCTCCCTGGACGGTGTTGAGAGGAGTGGTGAGGTTTCATGGGCTGCCCCTCAGCTGGGACTGTCAGTTCTCCTTGTTCTGTGACGGGGTGGGGCCAGGAGGACGCTCCAGGAGGGCCTGTCCTCCGCCCCCTCCAGGTCTGTGCCCTCAACAGGCCCTGGCTGCTGCCCTGGCCTTGGTCTCCTGCCGAGTTGGGGCGTCTCCCCTTCCCCACTGGAGGGCAAGTGTCCACCTGCCATGGTTTTTGAGGGGTTTGTGGGGCCTGTGGGCAGTGCAGGAAGCCTGGGCCTCTGAGGAAGACAGACAATGGAAACACGGAGGGGACAGGCCACCACTGGCAGCTGGGCAGGAAACAGGCACAGAGAGAAGACAGGAAGTCCCCAGGAGAAAGGAGTGAACGGGGGACGAGGGCCGGCCACTCTGGGAGCCAGGCCAGGTGCAGGAGGGACCTAACTGGGCATTGAGATGTGTGGCCGGACATGTCCCCTGGTTGGCCCGGGCACTGCCATGGGCACTGGGACTCAGGTCTGCGACATCAGCAGGTAAGCTGGGTGCACACAGTGGCAGGCCCCGGCACAGGGCCGGGGGCGGACACCAAGGGAGCTGCTGTGGAAGGTGGTCAGGGCTGGAGGGAAGAGCCGAGGGTGTGGGGCTGCCAGGCCAGGCCAGCAGAGCAGGGTGGGAGGACGCGAGCCCCTGCCAGCTTGCCTTCGAGGCCCTGCAAAATTCATTAAAGGGAGTGTCCCGTAGGGGCAGGGAATGTGAGCCGGGCTGAAAGTGATCTGTGGCCATCTGCTTGCTGTGCGTCCCCAGGGTCATCCACAGGGGCTTTGGTGGGGACACCGAGGCTGCAGCCCCAGATGCACAAGGAGACCCACCTGGCCTCAGCCATGGCTGCCCGCTGTGTGCTGACTGGGCTCTGGTCAGGCCCGCTCTGTCCTTGGCTGCAGACCTTGACTTTTATAACTGACAGGTATGAGGCCCTCAGTAGAACAAGGAGCCACATGGAAAGTCGGCCACTGCAGGGGTGCGGGGAGGCCTGCTCGCCTCCTGGTGACTGCCTGGGGACCCTGGCCATGCCACGGACCGTGGCAGCTGTTCAACTGGGGGAGATCCTGGCATGGGTGGGTGGAGAGCTGCCCAGCTCCCTCCAGCCCAAGACACCACCGAAAAATGACTCAGCCACATGTCCGTGGTCCTCAGGGTGGCCCCACTGTCCCCTGAAATCGTGCCCCTGGGTTGGGCCCCACTTCAGTGAATTCTGGGGGAGCCTGGTCTGTGTCCCATAGGAAGCCCAGCAGGTCCCGTGGAGTCCAGGGCAGGATGAGCAGACACCCCAGGTTTCATCACAGGCGACACAGGAAACCAGAGACAGTGGCTCTCAGTGGTGACGCCACCATCATCAATAGTTTACAGCAGGTAATGGACACTCGACCTGGGTCTCAGGCTCAGGTGGCCACAGTACAGCTGCCAACCTGGGGCTGTGTCAGAACAGGAGGGCAGGTGACTCCTGCCCACAGGCCCCAAAGACTCAGAAGCCAGCAGTGCACTTTCTGATGGGCCTGGTCTCAGCTGAAGGAGGCCCCAAGGCCCTTCCTGCACTGGCCAGGGCAGACAGGGCAGAGGTTGGGAGGACGGTAGGGAAGGGGGCAGAGCCAGCCACTGCTACACCTGCTGCACTCCGACCCAGAGACAGGGAGAGACACTCAGCCCCTTTGAGCACAGGGAGGGGCCAGGTGCAGGGGCCACGCCTCCTACCTCAGCGACCCAGGGGGCTGCGGCAGGGCATGCAAGGTCCAGGCCCGTCTGGGCCATGCAGCCAGAAGGCGTCCCAAGCTAAATCTGGCTGGGATGCAGTCCAGGGGAAGAGCACCTGGGTTTAACCCCAGCACCGTTAGCCCCAGGGAGACACTCACGTGCCCTGGGGTGACTATGACCAAAAGATGTCACGAGGGAGAGCTGCCAGCACTGTGCAGAGGTCAGCAGCCTCAGGACCACCACTGCTGGTGACCAGCCTGGCAGCGCCACCAAGGTGAAATGCAGTCACCACAAGGGCCAGCAACCCCTCCTAGTGGATGCCTGAGTCCAGAACACACAGCCGACACAAACGGTGCACACGGAAACAGCCAAGGTCCACCAACAGGAGGTGGACACACAGCCTGGCCATGCCCACCTGGAGCGTCCTGGCCAGGGCAGGAGCGAGGTGACACACTGCAGCATGGGTGGACCTGAGGACCACGTGCTCAGTGACAGCCAGGCACACAAGGCCCAGTGACAGAGGAGTCCAGGGCAGGAGGGTCCAGAAATCGACGTGGACCCGCGGGTGCGACGGGGCTTGCTTTTTCCCTGAAGCTTTCATGAATGTGTCTCTCTAGAGATCATGAATATCACATGTCATTGTCACAACTCCATAGCCCGATGGAAGGGAGCTGAACACGCCTGTCAACAGACACTCAATGTCCTCTTTCTTTCAGAGTATTTCCTATGGAAAGTAAGTTCATCTGCAGAGGTGTGTGTGAGTGTGTGTGTGTGTGTGTGTGTGAATGTGTGAGTGATTGTGTGTGCCTCTGTGTGTGTCTCTCTGTGTGTCAGAGTGTGTGTCTCTGTGTGTGTGCATCTGTGTGTGTGTGTGTCTCTGTGTGTGTCTGTGTGTGTATCTGTGTGTGTGAGTGTGTCTGTGTGTGTATCTGTGTGTGTCTGTGTGTGTGTGTCTGTGTCTATGTGTCTGTGTGTGTGTGAGAGTGTGTGTGTCTGTGTGTGTCTCTGTATGTGTGTCTCTGTGTGTGAGTGTGTCTGTGTGTGTGTGTCTCTGTGTGTCAGAGTGTGTGTCTCTGTGTGTGTCTGTGTGTGTATCTGTGTGTATGTGTCTGTGTGTGTGTCTGTGTGTGTCTCTGTGTGTGTCTGTGTGTGTGTCTCTGTGTGTGTGTCTGTGTGTCTGTGTGTGTGTGTTGTGTGTCTCTGTGTGAGTGAGTGTGTGTGCCTCTGTGTGTGTCTCTGTGTGTGTCTCTCTGTGTGTCAGAGTGTGTGTCTCTGTGTGTGTGAGAGAGTGTGTCTCTGTGTCTGTATCTGTGTGTGAGTGTGTGTGTGTGAGTGTGTGTGAGTGTGAGTGTGTGTGTGAGTGTGAGTGTGTGTGGGTGTGAGTGACAGGGCTTCACTTTACTATACCCCTTGAGGCTTTGGAACTTACAAGGCTTCTCTTTTTCCCTAATCTCCTCCCTGAACTTCTCCTCCCTGATCTTCTCCTCCCTGATCTTCTCCTCCCTGATCTTCTCCTCCCTGATCTCATTTCTCTGAATGTCTCCGTGATAAACCTGGGCCGGCCGAGGGGCAGAACCGCAGCCTGGGGAACCGGACCTGTCTTGATATTGAACTGGCGTCGAGGACGAGGACCAAGCTCTGGTTACGTGTGTGGTGAGTGCATTTGGTGGCCGGTTGCAGTTTCCTGCGGCTGGTGACAGCAGTGCTGGAGAGCCAGCCTCGCCCTGCGCCCCGCGCCCCGGCTCTTCCTGCCCGTCTGCTGCTGGGATCCGCAGGGCCTTGATACATTTAAAACAAATTCCAAGTCTCCCAGCTGCTAGAAAACATTTAAAATTAGAATGGGCTACAGAGGAGAAGACAACCACCCCAGTGACGGAGGCAACAAGTGTTAATATTGCGGGTGTTGATACATTGTATAGGTTTTTAAATTTTTATTTTGTAGCTTTAGATTATTCTTTTTCGCCCAAATAAGGCTTGTTCCCTATTTTTACTTTCCCTTTTTGTCCTGGGAATTGAATCAGAATGCTCTACCACTGAGCTGTACCCCCAACCCTGTTTGAGACAGGGTCTCTTAAGTTGCTGAGGGTGGCCTTGAACTTGCAACCTCCTGCCTCAGCCTCCCCCCATGGATCAGACGACAGGCGTGGCCACCATGCCTGGCCTACTTATTTCACTTTTTTTAAAATTATATTTATTTTTTTAGGTGTAGATGGACACAACACCGGGCCTTTAATTTTATGTGGTGCTGAGGATGGAACCTGGGTCCCCTCCCGCCCGTGCTAGACAGGGCTCTACCCCTGAGCCACAATCCCAGCCCCCTTATTTCACTTTTTAAAATGAAAGTCAAGCCACCCTGAGCTCTTTCCTCCCCACACCCCAAGCTTCTCTGTGGAGCCAACAGGGTCTGAATTCCTGGACGTCACCCTGGAGGACAGTCACCCTGGAGGACAGCCGTGGGATCACCCCCTGTGGCAGGCCCCGCCAACTTCCCTCAGCACCACCCCTCCCGGTTTTCCACACAACTTCCTCTTTTTCTCAAGATAAAATAGGTCCCAACAATGAAAACAAACCCTCGGAGACGTTCACATTCATCTCCAAAGCGGGCCTCTGGAACGCCCTTGGTCACTTCCAGATATTGTGGGGGATTCCGGTCAGGCACCCCGGCAGCCAGGACCCGCTCACTTGTTTCAATCCAGTACTTTTCCAGCCATCTGCAAAGTCTCCCTGCAACAGTCCTGTCCCTGGGGGTCCCTGCTCCCCCTGGCCCCGAGAAGTCAAAGCCAACAGGGTCTTGCCCACGGCCTCGATTCAGAGGAGAGGCTGACCCCAAGAACCCAGAGTTCCCCAGGCTCTCTGAAGCATGTCCTTGACAGTTCACCTCCCAACTGAGGAATGAGTGATAAGGCAGGGGGCGGGGAGGGGCCTGCAGCCCTCCACAGGGGCTCCTGGCTCTGGTCCCTCCTTGGTTCCCTGGTCCCTGCATCCCAGGCGGCTGGAAGGGTCTGTGGTCCTGGGCGGAGCAGGGAGGCCAGCATTCCTCAGATTGTTTATTTGTTTGTTTAATCTGGGCTGGGCCAGGAACGCCTCCTCCCATCTGCATTGGGTGGTATTTGGATTCTTGCTGCAGCCCAGAGCCCCTGCCCTGGGTTTCCCTGCTGGGCCCCGGGTGGTGCCCTACTCCAGATGCACACTGGTGGCTACTGAGCTTTCTCCTCCGCCCCCGTGCTGGGCTGGACCTAGGGCCTCACGAATGCTGGACAGCGCTGACCACTGAGTGCTGCCGCCCTGTTTGCTTTTGTCCCACGCATTCAGTCCCTAAGTCCCTAGGCCTCCCAGCCTTGCCCTGTGGCCCCTATGACCCTCTGCAGACCCTCCCCAGCTCAAAGTCACCTACCATGTAGGACAACCACTGTCCAGCCAGCACATGGCTCCTGTCCCTCCCAACTTGGTGGCAGAGGATGACCGAGATGGGAAGATGAGATTCCTGCTGCCGGCAGCCAGGTGGGATCTCTGTGGACCCCGAGGTCTGGATGTCAGGAGGGCCAGGGAGGCAGAACCCCGGGCAGTGGGCACCACTGAGACTAATGTCCCTCACTTGATGAAGCACTCACAGGGGTCAGCCATCCGTCCCCAGAGCCTGTGTTTGGGCCCAGCACTGCCCTGGAGGGTCCCAGCAGGTGGCCTGCGTGGGAACCACCCCCAAGGGCTGAGCTTGTGGAATCCTGGGATGGTAGCAGCAGGTAGGTGTGCCTTCCTGGGTGACGCACACCCAGACACCGTGCCTCTGGTGGAGTCATGCACATCGAGGCCTGGGCGGCCGCGGAGGGAGGCTGAGGTGCCCGCTGTGGCCACGGAGGAGGCGTTGGGGAGTGGATCCCCTTCCTGCAGACTTGGACCCTCGGGGAAGGAAAAGCAGGGGGGCGCGTAGGGTGGTGGACCGTCCCCCAGCATGCCCCTGCTCTGAGGTCTGCCCAGCACTGCAGAAAAAGAGAAGAAAAGCAGGTGGTTGTCCTCAGGGAACCGGGGACTGAGGATCACCTCCACCCTCCCCTGGTCTGAGCACTTCCAGGGCCAGCATCCTGTCCCCAGAACATGGCCCCGGCTCAGCACCCCTGGGCGACACTCAGCCCCTGACCCGCCCGGGATGGCCAGCACAGACCTGAGCCCGCACCCTGCTGCCTAGTCAGTGGTCAGTGGACACAGACTGGAACCTCAGAATCTGAGCCAAAGAAACCCTTCTTCCTCTACGTTGATTTTCTTTCTTTCTTTTTTTCTTTCTTTCCTTCCTTCTTTCTAGAAATAGAATTTTATTGTATCTTTTAAGTAACTGTGGTACAGGGTGGTGGCTCAGCGGTAGAGCACTCGCCTAGCTCGTGTGAGGCCCTGGGTTCGATCCTCGGCACCACATAGAAATAAATAAAATAAAGGTGTTGTGTCCAACTCAAACTGAAAAATTAATATAAAAAAAGTAACTGTGGTACAGGGTTGTGCTCAGAGGTGGAGCACTCGCCTAGCATGCTAAGGGTTCGACCCTTAGCGCCACATTAAAAATAAAATAAAATAGAGATATTGTGTCCACCTATAACTAAAAAATAAATATTAAAAAAGTAACTGTTGCACAAAGAAACTACAAAATATGAACTCCAGAATGCTTCCAAATAATTTATTTTCACATGAATTTTTTTAAATCTACTACACAGTAAGTATTATTGTCTTTTTTTTTTTAAGAGCGAGCGAGAGAGAATTTTAATATTTATTTTTTAGTTTTCAGTGGACACAACATCTTTGTATGTGGTGCTGAGGATCGAACCCGGGCCGCGTGCATGCCAGGCGAGCGCGCTACTGCTTGAGCCACATCCCCAGCCCATGATTTGGTTTTTCATCAAGCAAATTTTCTTTGCAAACCTTTATTTATATATCTGTTATTATTTTTAGTGAACTGTAGCTATACGTAATAGTGGAGTTCATTTGACATATTTACAAATGCATGTAAAATAGTTTTGTCCATTTCCATTCCCATCATTCTCCCTTCCCTCCCTTTCACCCTTCACCTGAGAAGCTGATTTTCTTTTTATTTGTTTTCTCTTGTTTCGTTGTTTCTAAGCTGATTTTCTCATGTATTTTGTCACAGTGATGGAACTGACTAACACTGTTAGTGAACAGAGGAGCCACTGAATCCAGGGTACATCTGGGCAAAGCTGTTTAAGCATGACCTTAGTGAGACAGTCAGATGATACGTCTTAGATGATCTTAGTTGGCACAGTCCAGGGGCATGTGGTACATTCAGAAGCGCAGGAATCACCTCTACCTGATTCTAGAGCATTCTTGTCACCACAAAGGGAGGACTCCTGCCTATGAGCAGCCAGCCCCCTGTCCCTCCCAGCCCTGCACCCACAGGTCCACGTCCTGTCTCTCGATTCCTGTCCTGGACTCTCCTGTCATGGGGTCACACTGGCTGTCACTGAGCATGAGGTCCTCAGATCCCTCCACACTGCAGCTGTCCCCTCGCTCCTGCTGGTGTCCGAGAATGCTCCAGGTGGATGAGCAGTATCTCTCCACCTAAGTGTGGACAGCCGGGCCACCCCCCCATGTGTGGGCTTTGGTGGACATCTGTTTTCAGGCATCGGGGTGCCTTGGGTAGCAGCACCTGCTTTACCTTGGTCCTGCTAGCAAGTACCGTCCTGTACCCTGAGGACAGAGCCTGGAGCCGGGGCTCCAACAGAATGCCTCAGCTGCCACCTGGGTCCCCATCCCCACTGCCCCCTCCTAGAGCAGTCAGGGACGCCCTCAGAGCTGCGCAGGGCACAGCAAGTCTCCATCATGCGCCCAGCAGGGAGGTTGAGAAATTCCAACAAGTCCAGGCAGCCTCATGGTGAGCTGCGCCCTGGAGAGACCTGCCGGGGCTGTTTGCCCTGATGCTGAGTCTGGAGGCCATGCTCCTGACAACGGTGAGCATCCGTCTGGGGCCCCTGCATGGCTTCTGGCTGGTGCTTTCCGCCTAGAATGGGAGAGAGGAAGGGGAGGGTCCTGGGCGCCTGCTCCTGCCCCAGCGCCTTCACCCCCCTCAGGCCTCCCTGCAACTGGGGAGACTGAGGCTGGGTCAGTCTCTCGGAAGCTTAGGGGCGGTGGGCACAGGGCTGGAGCAGCCCACCTGGACCTCCGTCGGCCTGCGGGGCTGGAATGAGCAGCACAGGAGACCCTCAGCAAGGCCGTGTGCTCCAGAGGTGGACCCAGATGGAGGTGCCCACACACCGACCGCCCGGGGTGCCTCCATGGCCTTGTCCACAGCAGCCCAAACCTGGGGGCACCTGAGACTCCCGGTGGGTGAGACAGATGGGCCCAGACGGACGGCAGCTGTCACTGGCTGGAAAGAAAGAGCTCCTGAGCCATGATGAGCCGGGAGCACCCCTAAGGGAGGCCCCAGGCTGCAGAGGCCACGCCCTGGGCAACTCCAGCCTGACATCCTGGAGAGGGCAGAAGTGTGCCCACAGCCCAGACCTGGGGGCCGGCGGGGCCAGGACGGCAGGCAGAGCCTGGAGGACTTCTCAGGCCCCGGAAGGTCTGGTTCAGTCTGCGGACAGGTGTCGTTTATCAAGATCCCAGCCACGGGCGGCTCCGGGGGAACCTCAAGTAAACCTGTGAGTGTCGCTGAGGACCACGTATCCAAGTTGGCTCACCCACAGGTGGGGCGGCCGGACACTTCCCGTCCCCTGCCCCACTTTCCTGTCCACTTAGGGCTGCTCAAGAAATAGGCTCTTGGGCGGGGCTGGGGCTCAGGGCCGAGCGCTGGCCCAGAATGTGTGAGGCACTGGATCCGACTCTCAGCACCGCAGATGAAACAGACGGACAGACAGACAGATGAAATAAAGGTCCATTAACAACTACAGAAATCTAAAAAGTAAATGAAGTCTCCAACAAAGGGACTGCGGGTGAGGCCCAGTGTGGGCGGGGCCTGGGCTCGGTCCCTAGCCCTGCAGAGGCCACTGAGGTCCATCTGTGGCCGCGGGGTGGGGGCCGGCCGCTGTGGGTCACTGATGCTGGACTGTGGCCGGCAGCCCTGCACACTGGTGGGCACCGGCACCTCCCTCTGCCCACTCCTGGGACCGCAGGACTGTGGAGGGTTTTCTCTGCTCTTGGGCAGCCCAGGACGGGAGGGCAGACCCCTGTGGCCACCCTCCAGGCCTTAGCCCACAGGGCCAGCCCCTCGCGGTCCTGCCGGCCACTGGCTACGTCACAGGAAGGGGGGGCTTCAGTGGGACACTTTGCCCTCCCACAGATGACTGATGAGGCCTCCGCGGCACCTGGAGAACTTTCCAGGGCCCCTGTTATACATGGGGCCAGGTGACAGTGCCCAGCTGCCAGGTGGCCGGGTCTGGGCTCCCAGGCTCCAGGTGTCCCTGTGGTTCCAGCGCCTTCCAGCTGCCTGAGCTGAGCTGGGGTCCAGGCACCTGGAGGCCCCCAGCCCGACTCCCCGCGGCCTCCCCTGGGAGAGCCCCCTGCCAGCCTTCTGTGGACCCTCCCCCTCTAAGGGGTCCTGGGCCTTGGCCTTGGAGCAGAGCAGGGGTCATCACTCCAGTGGATGGTGGGGCCCACCCTGACCCTGGGCCTCTGCCCAGTGGCCAGGGGCTCACTGAACCCCAGCCTGGGGCTCCTGAGGGCCAGGCCCAGGCTCTTGGGCTCTGAAAGAAGTTTGTCTTAGTACAAATCAGGCCAACTGGGGCTGCCTCCTCTGGGGAGGACACTTGGCCGTCGGCAAGAGCCTGGGGAGCTGGGCCACGCGCTGGCTGGTTCCCAGCACCCACCAGCCCAGAGCAGCGAGCCTGCACCCTGGGCGCTGGTCCAGCTGGGCACTCCACGGGCCAGCAAGCTGAGGCCCCGGCCAGACCAGGGGTCGACACTGCCCTTTGGCCTCAGATTCCTCTGGAAGCTGAGGGACCAGGGGCCTCACTCAGGGGGAGGTCCCAGGAGCAGTGTCCCTAGTCTGGGCACTTCATTCCCGGGTGCTCTGAGCAGCCTTCCCGGCTGTGGGTGACCTGGGCCCAGCCTCAGGGAGGCACACCCGGGTCGCCCTGGGTCAAGAGCAGCAGGGGAGCCTGGTGGGGTGGGGGCGGCTCCCGAGGGCTTCTGCCCAGGGGTGTGGCTGCAGTGAGGCCACAGGGAGGGTGGCCTCTACTTCCCTTCCCCATGAGTGGCAGGAGCAGGCGATGGAAGGACACGCTGTGGCACCGCGGGCTCCGGGACTCGCGGGGTCCTACCTGTCCTGGCCCAGAGGGAGCCAACCATGGGAGCCCGCTCTTACCTGGCTGGGGTCTGGACCCTGGGTCTGGTCAGCTGAGGCCCTGTCGGCCCACCCCTTGTCCTCTGGGTCTGTCTGGACAGTTTTCACGCCTGTACCCGGGTGTTCTTCCTTGACACACATGTGTTTTCAGTCCCTGATTTTTAAATCAGGGACAACAGTGACTGTCCCACAATACCCCGAGGGCCGGTCTCCCTGTCTGTCAAATGGGGTCCCGCCGTCAGTCCTTAGAGGGCTTCCTGAGGGTCGCCACGCGGTGTCCTGCGCCCCTCTCCCTCCAGCAGCCCCCAGCCTCAGTTTCCCCGGGTGCACCCCTGGAGGGCAGGACGTGGCCCAGGTAGCGCAGCGCGAGGTCGCAGGAGTGGAGCCCGTTTGGGGAGTAGACCAAACAGCGCGAGGTGCTGTCCCAGCGACTCGGGAGCCAAGACAGGAGCCGGCAGCCGCTCAGTAAAGCTGCTGGACAAGGCGCGAGAACTCACCAGAGAGGAAAGGACCGGAAATCACGGCCTGAGGGCCAGGACCCAGCTGGGGGCCCGAGGTGCGCCCAGGGTGGGTCCCGCCTTCCTGCCCCCCAAGAGCCAAAGAAGCCTGGAGCCCCTGGGTGGTGTGTTGGGTTCCTGTGCTGCTGGCTGGACCAGGGCCCTCGGGCTGTGGGGCAGGCGCTGACCCGAGTCCACCTCAGCCCTGGAAGAGAATGGGAGACCTTGAGTATTTTCAGTTGCCTGTTAAAATCCACTGTCATCGTATGAAACTCCAGATATTTCATGCTTAGAAGGGCTGGGCACTAGCTGTCCAGAGTGGACACCGTGAATCAAAGCTGTCCACTATAGCTGTCCACTATGGCCTGTCTGGCACCTGGTGCCATGCAAAGGAGCCCCCTTGACTTCGAGGTGCTCCTTCCAACCTTCAGAGCCCCAGAAGTGGCTGGCCTCTCAGAGCCGCCGGCGAGAGTGGACCCAGCCTGCCCTGTCCCCTGCCTGCCCTGTCCCCTGCCTGTTGTACTTGGCTTGACAGGAAATGGAATTTTGCAA